AGGTCAATGGTCTAACGACTACGGCATGCACGACTATGAGTACCCCCCCCCCCCCTTGCGCTAGAAAACCTCACCATGTAGAAGCCCAGGGTCAAGGGATCCATGACCCGGTGGAACTTCTTGTCGAGAGTCATCCACGAGAAGCCCGTCAGGGAAACCATGATCGCTAGTCGGAGGCAAAGCACCCCCATCACGGCGCCCGCGGTATACCCGCAGGTCAGCTCGAGGGAGCCGAAGAGAAGGTGCAGCGCCATCTGGATCTGGACGCCGACGCGAATCCTCGGGATCACCCACGACCGGTAGTGTTTCCGGAACGACTGATAAGGGTGTTGGTGTCGTTGTTGGGGGTGTCGTTGGTGGAGGTTTTGTTGGTGTTTTCCATTTCCGGTCACGGTTGTGAAGCATTTCTTCTTGGTTTTATTTCGTTTCGCCAACTCGTGGGAAGGGGGCGAAAGGGAGGGTTGACCAATGCTCGGCGTTTGCGCTCGGGCGAACGCGAAAAAGAAAATGCAAATCTGCTGGCCACGAACGCTGTCTCAAGATTCGAAAGGTTCCTCGCCAGTTCATACCTAACGAGTTCTTTAGGCTACATATTTCAGGATTGCCGCAAACGACTGGCCATCAACGGAGGGGACGTCGGGCCAGCAAGATGAACGTGGCCAGCTTGCATATCTGAGCGCCTGCCGTACAGAAATACGCAGGAACCACCCTCTAACAGCCGTGCTTTGTGGTGCGCTTGGTCACGGGTGTGCCTCTTCTGCAATACCAAGGCACGAAGTCCGCATTGCACCCATCGTGGCCAAAAGTGGATTCAGCGCAAACGGTCATAACCTTAGGTGGAAAAGACGCCCACGTTTCGAGTTTGGACTGCTTGTTTTGAATGGAGGGGAGAAGAGTGGCGAGACGGAAGACAGCATCGAGCTTTCTTATATCTTCAGACACGTGCGGCTTCCGGTATACTGTCTCCCCCCTATCGTGAGAAAATCTGGATCAAGAAAAGGATAGAACCGTTGTTGTTTGTCGGAACGGCAAACCCTAACCGCTAAGACAACAGCACAACCTACTGTAGAGGATGACACAGGTCCAACTCCCTGTCCATCAGCCAACTTTTGGTCAGCCCTGGTAGTATTCTCCAAGGAACCCGAACCTCCAACTTCCGTCTTTTACCGGCCCTAAACATTAGATGGACACATCCTTCCTCTGCCATGGCTTACCTTCTCCAAGATGGGATCGTGGAACTCGAGGGTCCAGATGCTCATTGCTCGCTCTATGGCCTGCGCGTCTGCCTCAGCGTCGGCCTGAGTCATACGAGACAAGTCGGAGGGGGGCACAAGTGGGTGGAGATATAGACATGAACTTGTTGAAACAGATGAGGATGATGAGCAGCAAGTATTGCATGTAGAGAGAGAAACAGAGACTGGCAGACAGAGGGATAGAGAGAAAGTACACTTGGGGACAGAGAGTGTGATACTGCAGCTGCCGCACTCACTACAGCGAGTTGAGAATCGTCGGGTACGAGCTGGAACGGAACAACGCAAGAAAACGCAAAGCGAGTAGATAGGAAGAGAGGAAACAGAGTTGTTGAGAAAAAATTTCGAGGTGCGCCGTTTCCGGGACGCTGGGTGACGGGGTTGCCACTGGAGGATATCCTGGTCCACCAAACGCAGTGCAATTTTTCCGGGCTGGCAACAAGTTGCTCACGCGGGACCGGCGGTGTACCAAAGGGCGTGGGTTTTCGACCCCCCCCCCTCGTCGTTCTCCCCCTCGGTGTTTACCATCGGGGTTGGGTTTTCGTCGCCTGGCAAAGACGTTGTAAAACAAGCCAATTCACTTCGTGAACTCGGCAACCAGGTTACCGCTGGTTTTTTTTT